TTGACTTTGGTCAACATTTTGAGTAAACGGACCAAACCCGTATTTCAACGGTCCCGGAGGGTCCGTAGTAAAATATGGGACTTGGGAGTATGCCCGAAATTGAATTCCGAGGTCCCTAGCCCGAGAAATGAATTTTTGAAGAAAATTATTAAACTGAAAATATAATAATTTTTAGAAATTGAATAATGTTTGATCTTGTTGGTATCAGTCCCGTATTTTGGTTTCGGAACCCGATACAGGTTTAATATGGTATTTAAGTCATGTATGCAAAATTTGGTGAGAAACGAAGTTTATATGATGTGATTCTGACTCTCGGTTGTGAAAATAGAAACTTTAAGTGTTCTTGAGAATTTCATTGTTTTTGATGCTAAATCCGTAGTTTTAGGTGTTATTTTAGAGATTTGGTCGCACGAGCAAGTCCGTATGATATTTTTAGACTTGTGTGCATGTTTGGTTTGGAGCCCCGAGGGCTCGAGTAAGTTTCAGATAGGCTTCGGGATGTTTTGAACTTAGAAATATCTGTTGTGTTACTGCTTCTGGTATGCTGATACCTTGTGCTTTGCGTTCATGAAGCAAGTCTCGTGAACGTGATGTGCAACCTAGGCTGGGGAGGGGTTTGTTCATTGCGAACACAAAGCTGTGGTCGCGAACACAGAGCACTGGGGGGCTGCTCTTCGCGAACGCGACCGACATCTCGCGAATGCATAGAGTCAAAAGGAGGCGGGCTGGGGAATCTCTGAGTTGTTCTTCGCGAATGCGGTCTAAGGTCCGTGAATGCGATGGTCAGGGGTGAAAGACCATCGCGAACGCGAGAAACTCTTTTCGAACGCGAAAGCCCTTCTGGCCGCAATGCATCGCGAACACGACAGGCCATTCGCGAACGCGAAGAAGGCCTGTCCAGTGTTTTAAAAACAGAATAAAAATGGGAGTCTTCCATAATTTCATATTTTCAAAAACAAGAAGGCTTAGAGGCAATTTTCAAGAGACAAGGTCTTCCCAAAAGTGTTGGTATATAATTCTAAACCACTTTCTTTCAATTACCCATTGCATTTCATCAATTTTCATCCAAAAATCTAGGGTTTTTATGATAGAAATTGGGGGTTTGGGTAGAATTAGGGTTTTTTTTGTATAATTCGGATTTAGACCTCGATTTCGGGTAGGATTCTGAAACTAATTGCATATTTGGGTTCGTGGGTGAATGGGTGAACAAGTTTTCGTCCGGACCTCGAGTTTTGACCAAGCGGGCCCGAGGTCAGTTTTTGACTTTTTGGGGGAAAGTTTGGGAAAACTAAATTTGTGCATTGTAGTTGATTCCCTTAGAAATAATTGTTGATATTGAATTAATTGTGGCTAGATACGAGTGGATTGCAGGTGAAATATAATAGAAAAGCGGTATTTGAGGCTTGAGTTATGTGGAATCGAGGTAAGTGTTGTGGCTAACCTTAGCTTGAGGGATTAGGTATTGTTGCCTTATTTGCTACATGTTTAGTTATTAAGTACGACGTATAGGTGAGTTTAGGAGTATCTATACGTTGTTGTCGAGTCGTAGCATGTGAGTGAGTCTTGTACATGTGATTATTGTGTTTCCTTATACGTATTGCTCATGCTTAAACTAGTTATTCTTCGTGTTAATCAAGTTTTATTATGTTTTTTTCCTGGTATTGGATATTGGTTGAACATTAACTCAAGTTGAGATTTATATTGTGAAGTTAAATGTTGAAACGAGGTTGGTTATTGCTGATCCCTTTGCCGAGTTGTTATTGTTTCTATTGTTTGGGTGAGGAAGAGTGTAAATCACGAAGGGTGATGCCATGCACGATATTGTGAGTGAGTGTTAATGCACGAAGGGTGATGTCGTGCCATATTCTGTAAGTGTTAATGCTCAAAGGGTGATGTCGTGCCGTGATTATGAGAGAGTTAATACACGAAGGATGATGCCATGCCTTTTCTGTTGTTTCTTATGGTAAGGACAATGGTAAAAGTACGAAGGGTGATACCGTGCACATGTTGCTATGTTATTATTTCTCTTGGTTCAAAATATGATATTTACTTTGTTTCTTTACTGTATTATTTCCAGAACTTGATATTTCCCCTCAACATGTTTTCCCCTTCCCGTTATTATCTGTTAAGTTTCCATTATTATTATTTTCTTGTATATGATTTAACTACACAGGTTCATGTTATTTGTCATGTCCTTGTCTCATCACTACTTCGCTGAGGTTAGGCTCAGCACTTACTAGTACATGGGGTCGGTTGTACTGATACTGCACTCTGCACTTTCTGTATAGATTTTGGTGCCAGACCTCGTGATTAGAGTTGGGTTGCTGCCTTCAGTCCATCAGGAGACCCAAGGTAGATATGCCGGTGTTCGTAGACCCTGGAGTCCCCTTCTCTCTATCTTAGTTTCCCTATTTTCTTTCATTTCGAGAACAAATGTATTTCTTTTAAACCAGTATTTGTAGAAAATTCTTAGAAGTTCATGGATTGTGACACCAGATCTTTTGGGTAGTCGTGTATTAGTATTTTAAACTGTTATAAAATTTCTGCACTTCATATTTGTTTAGTTTAAATTATTGTTAATTACTGTTTTGGTTAATGATTAATGTATTAGAACTGTATCTATTGGCTTGCCTAGCAATCTAACAGTTAGGCGCCATCACGATCCCGACGGTGGGAAATTCGGGTTGTGACTTGATCGAAGATGGATATCGAATTGAGGATGCCCTCAAGTCCAGAATCACCCCCCTTTATTTTTCAAGCGGCTTGATAATTTATTATATATTTTATTTGTTTATTCTAGCAATCATTGTCATTTGTATTGAATAAATTCACATATCCTTAGAACCACTTACAAATTTAATTGTTATTCGATTTTGAGGTTAAACAATTTGGCGCCCACCGTGGGGCTAAGGATAATAGTGGCAATTTGTGATAATTTTTCATAACACACTCTATTTCATACTTGTTCTTTGAAGTGTCTTTAATTTAAGTTCAGAATTTAACATATCAAACTCCCATTTGCCCATCTAAACATGGATGCTGAATTCGGCCACCATGGAGAGAACAACAATATGGTACCAAGTAATGAGGTGCCCACTGCCGATTTCCCAACAGAGTTCCGGCTGCGGATCCAATCGACGTCAACTCATATGTGGTCATCAATGCAAATTTTCCTACTGATCCTGAGAATAGTGTCCGCAAGGGAGTCCGATCGGTAGCCCAAAATACACGCAACAGTGAAATAGATGGGATCAACTTGGGGGTGATTTTCAAAATGCTACAGGCTTAACAGGAAGCGATAGACCAATTGCAGAACCAATGTCGCGCTCCCAGTAGAGTTGAGCCCGAACCATCCCGGGAAAACACTCATAGAAATGAGCCAGCCACAAATAGGCCAAGTGAAACTAGATCCGGGACCAACCTTGAGATAATAAAGATGCTCGATGAATTGAAAAAACGGGTAGAAATGGGAGAAAAGAAAATCGAAGCTAACGACAAAAAGGTGGAGACCTAATACTCTAGGGTCAACCAAATCCCAGGAGTACCACCGATACTGAAAGGCCTAGATTCCAAAAAGTTTGTTCGAAAACCTTTCCCTCTGAGCGCAGCTCCAAAGCCGATCTTAAAGAAGTTCCACATGCTCGAAATTCCCAAGTACAACGGAACAACTGAGCCAAACGAACATGTGACCTCTTACTCGTGCGCCATAAAGAGGAACGACTTGGAAGATGATGAGATCAAATCTGTCCTGTTGAAAAAATTCGGAGAGACCTTATCAAAAGGAGCTATGATATAGTATCACAACTTACCCCCCAATTCCATTGACTCATTTGCTATGCCTGCAGATGCTTTTGTAAAAGCGCACGCCGAAGCCATCAAGGCCGAGACCAGGAAGTTAGACCTTTTCAAGGTAAAGCAAATAGATAACGAGATGCTCAGGGAGTTCGTGTCAAGGTTTCAAATGGAATAGATGGACTTGCAACCGGTGGCAGACAATTGGGTCGTTCAGGCCTTAACTTGAGTACTCAATGCTCGAAGCTCATTGCTTCACAACTGTTGAAGCAAAAACTAATATAATATCCAACTGTAGCTTGGGCCGATGTACATAATCGTTATCAATCAAAAATTAGGGTCGAAGATGATCAGCTTGGGGCCCCTTCTAGGTTTGTTTATCCTATCTGAACTAGTGATAGATCCAAAAGAGACATTGATCGTGAACCAAGGTCAAATAGAGATTGGTATCAACAGTACGACGGTGATCATATGGGTAATGGGTCTAGATAGAACCCTGTGAGAAGTGAAAGGAGAGTCCATCGAGGTCAAAATAACCGGGGACTCAAGAGCAAAAGTGTTTTCGATAGGTCCATCGGGCCTAAGGAAGCACAGAGGTTATCGGAGTATAACTTCAATGTTGATGTTGCTGCCATCCCCCATCATACGCATCATAGACACCAATTGGTCTCGACCTTTATAGTCTGATCCTTCCCAAAGGGACCCAACCTAATGTGTAAGTATCATGGCACTCACGGACAAAGAACTCAAGATTGCCAACAACTGAGAGAGGAAGTAGCCCAGTTATTCAACAATAGACACCTCCGAGAGTTCCTGAGCGATCGAGCCAAAAATCATTTCAGGAATAGAGACTCTAATAAGCAAATCGAACAGGAGGAATCTTACCACATCATTAACATGATAATCAGCGGAGTTGACATACCTCGGGGATCAATGTTAAATGCACCAAAGTGTCCATCATAGGGGAAAAACAGACTCGAGATTACGTGCCATAGGGAACCGCATCCTTCAACGATGAGGATGCTGAAGGCATCGTGCAACCACACAATGATGCACTAGTAATATATGTACTCATAAATAAATCTCGAGTTAAACATGTGTTAATTGACCCAGGTAGCTTGGCCAATATCATCCGATCGAGGGTCATAAAGCAGCTGAGCCTATAAGACCAAATTGTTCCTACAGTTTGAGTTATAAACGGATTAAACATGTCATGTGAGACCACTAAAGGGGAGATAACCTTGATGGTGAACACCACCGAAACCATTCAGGAAACAAAATTCTACATGATCGATGGAGATATGAGATACAATGCTTTGTTCGGGAGGCCGTGGATTCATAACATGAGGGCACTACCCACAACACTACATCGGGCTTTCAAATTCCCAATGCCAAGAGGAATTAAACCAGTTTACGGAGAGCAACCAGCCGCAAAGGAGATGTTCTTGATCGATGAGGTCATCATAATATCTGCACTTTCAACATCACAAGGTTCGAGTTCGGTCGCCAAGGGGGAAACAAAATAGCAATCACCGACACCAGCCTCTGTCGAACCAAAGAAGAAGGGGACTGGTGAGGACGACGACTACAGAGTCCTTAGATCTTTCATAGTGCCCGATATTTCCGATGCCACCAAATCAATGGTCGAAAAACTGGAGCAAGTCATATTGATTGAGCACCTACCTAATCGTAAGGTATACATGGGCATGGGGTTAAATCCCGATCTTAGGAAAAACACATTAAATTCCTTATAGCTAACATAGATTATTTCTCTTGGTCCCACCTCGATATACAAGGATTCCGCCAGAAATAACTACTCACAAGTTGAGCCTAGATCCGAAGTTCTACCCAGTCAAACAGAAAAGGAGGCCTCAGTCCGAAGTCAAGCATGCATTCATCAAAGACGAGGTATCTAAACTCCTTAAAATGGGGTCCATTCGGGAGGTTAAGTGCCTAGATTGGTTAGCAAACGTAGTGGTAGTCCATAAAAGGGGAATAAATTAAGAATGTATGTATACTACAATGACTTTAATAAGGCATGCCCTAAGGACTCTTTCCCTTTATCCAACATCTATCGCATGATCAATGCGACGATCGGCCACAAGACCCTCAGTTTTCTCGATGCCTATTCTGGGTACAACCAAATTTTGATGGACCTGGGTGACCAGGAAAAAACATCCTTCATCATTAAGTACGACACCTACTGCTATAACGTAATGCCATTCGGACTAAAAAACATCGGTGCCACTTACCAGCCCCTAGTAAATCGGTTTGAAGAGAAAATAGGAAAATCAATTGAGGTTTACATTGACGATATATTATTTAAGTCCCTGCAAGTAGAGAACCATTTGAAACATTTGAGGAAACTTTCAACATATTGAAGAAATACAATACGAAGCTGAACCCGAAGAAATGCGCATTCGAAGTCAGGTCCAGGAAATTCCTCGGATTCATGGTGTCCAACTGGGGAATCGAGATTAATCCCGATAAGATCGAGGCCATTGAGGACATCACCGTTGTGGACAATGTTAATTCCATTCAAAGCATAACCGGGTGCGTAGACGCTTTGGGTCGATTCAGCTCGAGGTCCTTTGATAAGATCCATCAGTTCTTCTCATTGTTGAAGAAAAAGAATAACTTCTCATTGTGATGAATCAAAAGGTCATCTTATGATTTTAAACTAAATTCTGTGTTTTGAGGCCTTCAAAAACCTCATTTTATCCCTACTCAATTTGCATTCACAGTTCGGACGTGTTTCCGGAAAGCTTTAATGTTGAAAGTTGATAAAAATAATAATTTTTGCCTAAAAGTTAATTTTAGTTGACTTCGGTCAATATTTTTGGTAAACTGACCTAGACTCATATTTTGATAGTCCCGGTGGGTCCGTATTAAAATATAGGACTTGTACGTATACCCGGAATCGAATTTTGAGGTCCCTGGCTCAAGATATGGATTTTTGATAAAAATTGAATGTTTGAAAATTAAAGGATTTTAAGAATTTGGTTAATGTTTGATCTTATTGGTATCGGGTCCGTATTTTAGTTCCAGATCCCGGTACAAGTTCATTATGATATTTAAGACTTGTCTGTGAAATTTGGTGAGAAACGGAGTTGGTTTGATGTGATTCGAACGTCCGGTTGTGAAGTTAGAAGATTTAAAACTTTCTTGAAAATTTCATACAATTTGGTGCTAAATTCGTAGGTCTAGGTGTTATTTTAGCGATTTAATCGCGTGATCAAGTTCGTATGATGTTTAAGTACTTGTGTGCATAATTAGTTTGGAGCCCCGAGGGCTCGGGTGAGTTTCAGATAGGCTACGGGAGGTTTGGACTTAGGAAAATTTGGTGTTTTTGGCTTCAACTGTCATCTGGTGTCTTCTTGTTCACGTTTGCAAAGGGACTCTCGTGAATGCAAGGAGTAAATTGGACTGTAAGAGACATTCTTCTATGCGAATGCGAAGGACTGGTCTCGAATGCGCAAAGTTGGGGGCAGTACCCTTCGCGAACGCGAAGCATTAGAACCTGGGGGAGAGGAAGTATACTCTTCGTGAACGCGGCACATGGCTCATTAATGCGGAGGCTGGTGGGAATAATCTTTCGTGAATGCAAAGAGTATCTCGCGAACGCGTAGGCTAATAGAGTAGTCTTTTCGCAATCACGGAAGGCTCTTCGCGAACGCGAAGATGGCCTGCCCAGCGAGTTAAAAACAGACCAGAAAGGGAATTTATTCAAAACTTCATATCTCTTTCATTAGAACTCATCCTAGGGCGATGTTTGAAGGGGATATTCAACACCAAATCATAGGTTTGTACTTTTTAACTCATTTCCTTCAATTTCCATCATTACCCATTAGAATCCTAGTCATAAACCTTGTTCTTTCATGGTAGATTTTAGGGATTTTTGGAAGAATTGGGGTTTTTTGCAAATTAGGAATTTAGACCTCGATTTAGGGTCGGATTCCAGAACTAATTACATATTCGGGATCAGGGGTGAATGGGCGAATAGGTTTTTGTCCGAACCTCGAGTTTTGACCAAGCGAGCCCGAGGCCGATTTTTGACTTTTTGGGGGAAGTATTGGGAAACCTAAATTCATGTATTGAAATTGATTACTTTAGCAATATTTGATGTTATTAAGTTAGTTTTGACTAGATACGAGTGTTTCAGAGGTGGATACTAGAGGAAAAGCGGTAATTGAGCATTGAGTGGCCCGCAGAGCGAGGTAAGTGTTGTGTCTAACCTTGGCTTGAGGTATTAGGTATTGTTGCCTATTTTCTACGTGTTTGGTTGTTAAGTACAACATATAGGTAAGGTGACGAGTAACTATGCGTTGTTGTCGAGTCATAGCATGCGAGTGAGTCTTATTTTTGTAATTGTTGTATTCTTTAATCAAATTGCTCATGCTTAGACTAGTTATTCTCTATGTTAAGCAACTCTTATCACGTTTTACGGAATTTGATATTGATTGAGTATTGACTCAAAATTGAGGTTGACATTGTGGACCTAATATTGAAGTGAGACTTGTTATCCATAATTATATCTCCCTATTGTTATTGTTCTTGTTTTGGTGAGGCAGAGTGTAAAGCACGAAGGGTGATGCCGTGCCATTTTATATTCATTATCATGTGAGGAAGAGTGTAAAGCACGAAGGGTGATGTCATGCCATTTCATATTCATTATCATGTAAGGAAGAGTGTAAAGCACGAAGGGTGATGCCGTGCCATTTTATATTCATTATCATGTGAGGAAGAGTGTAAAGCACGAAGGGTGATGCCGTGCTATTCTATATTCATTATCATCGTTTATTTCATTTATTATGGTGAGGATGAGAGTAAAAGCACGAAGAGTGATGCCGTACACTTGTTTTTTCTATGTTTAATATTTCCATTGGTTCAAATCATGTTGTTTGATGTGTTTCTTTAACGTTACCATTTTCATGATCTTGTACTCCTCTCAACATTTTCCCCCTCCCGTTATTATCTGTTTAGCTTCCATTAGTTGTTATTTTTCATATATTGTCTAACTTCACAGGTTTATGTTGTTGTCTTGTCCTAGACTCGTCACTACTTCACCTAGGTTAGGCTCGAAAGTTACCAGTACATGGGGTCGGTTTTACTGATACTGCACTCTGCACTTTCTGTCTGTACCGGTCCGAGCTGATCCTGAGTTTAGCTGCTGGCTTCATCTGATCGAAGACCCAAGGTAGACCTGTTAGCATCCGAAAGCCCTGGCATCCCCTTCCATACATTCCCTTTAATATTTCTTTTGTATCGAAAATAATTGTATTTCCTTCAGATATTTGTTGTAGTTAAATCTTAGAAGTTCGTGGATTGTGATTCCAGATTCTGTGTAGATTTATATATTTAGATTGTTATGGATTTCCACACTCTTTTTAACTTGTTATGGTTTAATTGTTGTTAATCCCTGTAAGGCTTAAGAATTGGTTTAATGATCTCTAACATTCGCTTGCCTAGAAAGTGAAATATTAGGCACCATCATGGTCCCGATGGTGGGAAATTCCGGGTCGTGACACTCATGGACCTCGGAGTGCCAAAAATCCTTGGAGGAACTCAAGAGGTACCTCTCGAGCCTGCCTTTGCTTCATACTCCAAAGGCAGATGAACAGTTTTACATGTACTTAGTGGTATCCGAGATAGCGGTAAGTGGAGTCTTGGTCAAGGAAGAGGAAGGTACGCAATTTCCTATCTATTATTTTAGCAGAACTCTAGGCAAGGCCAAAACTAGGTATCCTCACGTAGAAAAATTGACGCTGCTTTGCTAAGCGCCTCTAGGAAGCTAAAACCATATTTTCAATGCCATCCCATATGTGTTATAACTACTTACTCATTGAGAAACATAATGCAGAAACCCGAGCTCTCAGGATGATTGACCAAATAGTCAGTGGAGATTAGCAGGTACGATATCAAATATCGACCCCGAACCGCCAGTAAATCTCAAATTTTGGCGGACTTCGTGGCCGACTTTACGCCGACCCTAATACCTGAGTTCGAAAGGGAATTGTTGTTGAACTTGGGAACATCCTCGGGAATCTGGACCCTCTTTACGGACGGTGCCTCGAACGCAAAGGGGTCCGAACTTGGCATCGTATTGAAGTCACCGATGGATAATGTAGTTAGACAATCTATTAGTAAAGTAAAATTGACAAAAAATGAGGCATAGTATGAGGCCATGATTGTAGGTCTCAAACTAGATAAAAGCCTGGGGACCGAGGTGGTCGAAGCTAAATGCAACTCCTTCCTTGTGGTGAACCAATCCAATGGGACGTTCAAATTCAGAGAGGAACGAACGCAAAGATACCTGGATAAACTACATGTAACTCTATATTAGTTCAAGGAGTGGGCTCTGCAGCATGTACCTCGAGATGAAACAGCGAAGCCGATGCTCTTGCTAACTTGGGATCGTTGTTTGATGACAATGAATTCAACTCGGGAATGGTCGTGCAACTCATGAAATCGATAGTGGAGAAAGGCCACGCCGAGATAAACTCGACAATCTTAACCTGGGATTAGA